GTCTTCTTTTCCCAAATTTGGTCAAAGCATTGGAACTACAGTGTGAATTTGCTTCAACTGTTTTCCTTTCTTACTCTAGTTCACTAAATACTTAATCATTCCCTCACTTTAGCTTAAATACAACTGTGCATTGAGGTACAAGTAATACTAATAAATAGATGCATAGAAACATATAGAGCCATAAAAATACGACTGTGCTTTCGAGGTGCATGCGTTTGCTCTGACAGCAGGGCACTTAAGTATTAGTGCACATTAGAGTAATTAGCACTATGATGAGTAACTGAGGAACACGTAGCTGCATGTTATCCTGGATTAAGTCTGTCAGCTTGAGTCATGTTTAGTTGCCTTTCTTCTAATTGCATCAGTGAAAGCAGTCAACGTTTCATTCCTCCTGCAAGGAGGAAAAGAAGGAGGCTGATGGGACTAGCTTGGACTTCTCCAATGACCAATATTGTGGTTTTGTGGAAATCGGCCCAAAATGGGCAATGGTGAAAGGGGCAGAAAACCAGGTTGTAGATCTCTGCCGGTTGTGCCTTGCCAAAAGAGGCATAAAGGGGAGAGGAAAGACTTGCTCTCTCGTCCCAATTCCTTAMTGCCCTTTCTTGTGCCAGCTCCCCCAGTTTCCCATGGGGAGAGAGCAGTCGTAGCAAGATGCTGGACAAACCCCATGGGACGTTGTAACCTTGTCTAGTTGCTCGTTCTCCAAAGCAGACCCTGAAGGTCTGCTAGTTCTCTTCATGCCCAGACACATGTTTACTTGCACATGTAAGCAAAAAGCTTAAATTTTGGAGACACATCCGTGGGAAGCAATTTTCTTCCTGAACTCAGCATTACTATTTTGACACTATCCCAGGTTAATCTCCATTTCGGCAATGACGTGTGGACATTTGCGAGGCTCTCTGCTTAATGTATATGTACAGCTGTCACCTTGAAAATAAACCCTTCCRTTCAGAAAAACAGACCACAGCAGGCAGATACCAGCAGTTCAGAATAATAGTAAATAATATATTAATGGGGGCTTTTAAGTTTTAAAGATTTGGTCTTCCTCACACAGTCAGTCTGATCTTTTCCTTTTATTTCACTGAGTTAACTTTAGCTTCTCAGGTTATTAATCATTTGGTGATGGTTTCATTCCTTCCACTCTCTAGAATAGTTCTTCAAACTGCTTATTCCTGTCTTCTCTGAGGTATGATATTTGGGGAGTTGAAAACGCCAGTAATACAGCCCTAGAGAAATGCTGCAGATAAGAGGTATCTGACCTAGAAATAATCATTATACTGAAAAATAATTTGGCATTGTTTTTAATTGCTTGAAATTTTTGTGCAAGTTCGTTGCATATGTTTCATTAGGGAAGCAGCCCTGTACTYTTTGTAGGAGAATATAGTTTCTTGTGTGGATGTGTACAGCAGTTTTCTGCAGATTCTGTACATAGCTGGACTGTCAAAAACAGGTAGGTGACATCTTGAGTATTTTACTCTTCTGACAATTTACAGAATTTTACTGATCTTATTTATGCATAAGTGCACTTTGAAGGCAAAAAAAAAAACCCAAAGAAACAAAACCCCTCTCTGAAACAATAAACCCCTGATGCACTTGCCTAATAAGAAAACTGACTTGAGGAATATTTGCTATCGAAGCAAAACTAAGAAATCTGGGARCACAGCCTGACCATGGAAACTACTTTTCTTACCACAAATATGACATCTACATTTTATGAAACGTACTTATTACCAGGGGCCAAATTCTGCGGTCCTTACGCAAGCAGAACTTTCACTGAAAGTTCACTGAGGACGATAGAATTTGGCCCCAGGCTATTTCTTTTCCATAGAAAATTACTTCATTTGTAGCTTCCGCTTCTTATATTTCTCAGTAACTGCAGAAATGCGAGCTAGTCATTTAATTTCAAGCAAATAACAGCTTTAAGGGCTCACTGTGAAATTGCAACTTTATCTTTCAGTGTAATAGGATAARGGAGTAAATTTGTGGACGTGATGCTTTACTTAGAGGGAAAAAATATGTAGTTGGATAGCTATGTAGCAAGGAAACCAGTGTAGATGCGTGAGTTTTTCCATTTAAGTAAAATGAGAATGATTTGGTTTGGAACGGAAGAATAGTGACTTAGGATGTTACAAACACCTGAATTAATATGGGACTTTGGACTATTTCTGCAAGCAGAAATCAGCCCCAAGCTAGCATCGAAGGAGGTATAAACTACTTGCATTGCCCTSGGTAGTTTTAATAGTATAGTGCTCAACTTTGGCTAGTAGATATACTTCTCTAAAGCTAATAACAGTTGTGTCCATACTGCTGCGGACTGTGCATTTAGCCTAGACATAAACTGTGATGAAGTGTGAAATTCTGGTCCTSATTGTTGGCATTACCTAAACGTCCTTGGCTCTCAGCAGGATCAATATCTGACCCTCGGAGCGTTTGTCTGGTGTTACGAAAATTCAGATCCCACACACATGGAAAGGGATCGAGGCTGATTAAATTAAACGGCTGTAGCAAAAACTAGTGATAATTCTGAGTGGGAAAACAGCCATTGCATATAGGCAGCTATAGTGTCTGGCATTCGTTTTGCATCCATTTGACCATTTCTGGTATGGGACCAAAGATTGAATAGCCGTGCAGGAGAAGAAGAAAAAATATCCATTATAGCATTTTGCTGTTAATGTGTGTCTCCGTGTGGTGTTTTGCCAGTAGACATGAGCGAACCCTTCCCATTCCCCTCGCTGGTCGGAAGTCTTGTGAATGTAGTTAGCGTGGCACCGAGCCCAAACTAATATACCCTGCGTCCCGTGCCTTTGGGCTCGGACAAAGCGAACCTGCAGAGCACCACATGGACTCATACTTGAGCTGGTCCCATCAGGTCATCTCTGAGTTGGGTTTAAAGGAGTGTTTTGGAGAAGCTGCCACTGAATTTCATCTTACACACAAACTACCAGTGAAGATTTTGCAGTGTTGGCTCTTTCTTTTAGCGAATCACGCTTAAAACAATGAATTTCACCTTTTAGCTGGGAGTCAAACTTTTTATTTCCAGGCTGCATCACATTACTGATGTTCTTTGAATGTGACTTATCCTAGATTAATTTCTGAATTATGTATAAATTGTTTAATCACCTGTGAAACTTAACAACTTTCAGCCTTTCATTTCATTAGCTGTGAGATGAATGTCGATTAAATGTGTCTGGAAGGCCGGAGCTCGATGACACACGTAGTGAATATCGCCGAGGACTCTGTTTCATTTAATGCAGTAATAATAAACACTCCATGGGCAATATTTCAGCAATCGAGAACATTTTTGCAGGCTTTTCTATCTAAGTGTTTGGCTAAATGACAAAATTGAAGAAAAAAAAAAAAAAAGGCTTTTAAAAAAATAAAAGTCAGGCTTATTGCCTTAATGTAACCTTCGTGGCTGGGAATATATTAATAGGCAAAGGCATTACCTCAGAAAAGAGCACAGAAAGAGCCTCATTGTGGGCAGTAGCGGGGCAAAGCRCATGCTCCTTGCCTTGCAGCTTCTTTCCTCAGCGTTGTGATCGGGCCCATGCAATTGACGGACTTCAAAGGGAGCTTTGCAAAATTTATAGCATGTGTCCATTTGGGACTCCTTTCATTCTGTCCATTTGTGCACGAGGCCGAGTTACTCCGGAGAGTTTTGCAGTGGGAAACGCTCTTCCCCTGCAGAAGCTGCGCGCACAGTCATCTCAGTGTGGAGGTGCAGAGGGAAGCCTGTTTGGCAGCAACCCAACCTGGTGCTTGGTGGAAGGATTAGTGTGGTCACACAGGGCAGCCCATATTTTATCTAGTGACACCTTGCTGGAACATCTGTGCCTTTTTTGCAATCCGAGTCTGCCAGGTGCTGACCCAGAGCTTTTCAGTGGAGTCCTTGTTTCCCTGGTCCAGCAAGTGATGGATTATCTCTTCAGGATAGAAAGGGAAAGCAATTCAAGCTTGAGTACTCCAGGCATGGTCATTGTCTGTGTGTTGAGTAAAAGGACTCTAACTGCTGTGTTTTGTTCTCCACCTTTGGCTATGTATTCAAGGAAAGGAACGATCTCATTTTTTTCAGAGATTGCTCAGTTAGCAATTTGATTTGCTGATGTCTTGATGGTTCTTGACTCAAAATAAGCATAGGGAAAGCTAGTATGACCTTTTTAAAAAAAAAACTCCTTGTGGTGGTTTTGGAGGGGAGAGGATTGAAGGAAGGAGACCGAGAGAGTAAATGTTAAATGACTGCATATGGCTAACCATACTCTTCCTCGCTTGCTCATACTCAGCAAAGTTAAGGATGAATTAGAATAACGAGAAGAATGAAAGCCATAGGTTAAATTAGGCCTATTGAGTTTCCTGTAAGCTGATACCCCACAAGAGCAAGCTGTCTGCTTCAGTGTTGGTTGCTGTGCTGCTCTAGATGGTTGAAATCCTCTGGTTGAAGTTTGAATGAGTCTGAAGATTGCACAACCATCCCAGCCGACCAGCGAAGGTCTCTCTAGGTCAGCAGTGTGACAGGCAGAGGAAGTGCAGTGCGGGATATTGGGCTTTGCCTCTCTTCCCGCTTCATTTGCTCTGCGGATAAACAAATTGAGGGCTTGAGTCTTCAAGGCTGTCCGCGTGCCACCTTTGGAAGACCTTCTCCTAGAGAAATAAGAAAATTAACCACATGATCAATTTGATCCTAATTCTTATGGGAAGGATTCTGTGTGACTCCGTGACCAACTTTTTCCATTGAGCTTGTGTTACAGAATAGTTGTGGAATTAAGTTACAAAGAAAAACAAAAATCCTTTTCTTCCTTTATATTTTTTGCGCAGCTCTGTAGTTCATGGTGAGCTGCCCTACTTTGAAACAAATCTGACCCTGTCCTGTGTGTTGAATTGGCTTTCGTGCTCTGTGAACTGTGACATGTTCAGACACGAGACCTTAAATTAGGAATGGCAGACTTCRGATCAGTATTGTGGTATTTGTAACTTCCAGCATTTTCTATCCCACTTTTCCCCAGGATCTCCTGCCCTCACTGGCACTGGAACGATTGCTGTCACAGTGGATGATGTCAACGACAATGTCCCCACATTCGCCTTTAATGTGTATTCTGCCACGATTCTGGAGGATGCCCCTACAGGGACAGATATTTTGCTAGTAAACTCCTCAGATGCTGATGCTTCTACAAACGCTGTTATTAGGTAGGTCGCTTGCTGTTACTCTGTTATTCAGTACTGCCTCATACCTCGCCTGCAGATTTTTTTTTTCCTAATGTTTATCACCAGTATGACACGAGCCTTTAGACACGAGAAGACAGTTGTATGTTTGCAGCTAATTTATATAAGCAAATGTAGCTTATTTGGTTAGAGAATTGTGAGGGCAAATAGAATTGTATTAAGAATGACATGGTTTTTACAAGTTTTTACAAAGCATATGAGATTTTAATTCACACCTGAGTTTACCTGTTAATGGGTTAAATATAATTGTTTTATTCATATTTCTCTACATCTAGACCTAAGCAGAAATTAAAAAAAAAAAAATCCAAACCCATTTAAGTCTAGAGAATGGCATAAATGGATTAAGCACTAAACTTGCAGTTTTATATGTACATTCCTCAAATAATGAAATATGATACAGGCTGCCAATACTCTGCGTTACTGCCACTCATKAGCAAGTATAGATTCTGAAAAGGCTTAAGCCTTATGTTTAGCATAGCTTTTAGAACTGAAGCTTTGTAGTTAAATACATACAAAACGCATTTTGAAGCATATTCCTGAAGCAATTAGAAACTGTTGTTTTTGGAGGCCGACAAACTTGAGCATTAGTCAAAAGAGGTTTGGGAAAGGGCTTGGTARGGGGAGAAGACATGTAGTTAAGTTCCAGACTTCATTCACAAACCTGATACAAAAGCCAGCTTTGTGACAGGACTCAGTCTGTCTATCACTTACAAGCCTRAAAAAGTGTATAGAAGGTATTTTGCAAATGTAGTCGTCTTTGAATTTTAGCTATTAAGCTAGTTAAATCTAGAAACTGTTATTGGTTTGTGAGCCACYTCTGATTTTTGCATAAAAATTTTCAAACTCTGGTGCTTGAAGTTGTTGTAGTGATAGCATACAGATGTTTGCAGAATGCTACGGTATCTTRCTTATTTCATATGTAGTGTGTGTATTGTAGACTACTTTGGTAGACTTTTTATTTATAATACACCAAATGATTTACATTATGTGACTGATGCACCAACATTGCTGAAGTGGACACTGAGCTGAACRCTCTGTACAGCTGGAGAGACAAGAATAATGATCATGCTAAGAGGTAATGACAAGCCTTTACCCACTGAGGACAGGTTTATTGCAAATGCAATACAAAGCAGACAACTATTAGTTATTAATTACTTCTTGATATTCCCAAGAACCAGTATGTAATCCTTTTGAATTTAACTTTTGTGTGTGCAAACACCTGTATCTCTGTTCCCAAACATGCACAAGGATATAAAGGCAGCTTAGCTTGATTTACTTTTTTGATTTCAGCTCAACTTATTCTGCAGAGTGCAGAAGAATATCACTGTGGTCATAATTTTAAAAGTAATAATGAGGTGAAATAAAATAAAGCAGAACATTATAACTAAATGAGTGRGTTTGAAGCGCTATAGTATATTCTTTCTCACTAACTAGAAGCCCGAAGTAGGAACTTCCTATTTTGACATCTTTAAAGACTTGAAAGTTATCCAAAGTTACCATTTATTGAATTGTGAAACAATAGAGCTTTTAATTCTATTCATTGTCACCCTAAGAACCRTTTCTGGAAAGCTGCTTTACTAAAGAGAATTCCATGCAAAAAGTGAATGATTGTAATGATTGCATCTCCTGACTGAAATTATCAGAGTACTCTCAGGTTTCTTTAATGCGGCTGACTTGCATGGGTGTTTCTGCAATCAGTCTCTATCATTCATTTGCTGCATTGTAGTAGAATAGTTGATAAAAGTCTTTCATATGTAGCTGTTTAAAAAATTGATGTGAGACTCTGTTTTGCACTTTTTAGACTGAGGAGCACACTTTATTTTTCTTGGACAGATTTTTCTTCAGATGCAGCAATTAGAGTAACGTAAATCTTAAAATATGACTGGTATTGCAAACTGGCAAAAGCCAGAGGGGCCAGAATACATATGGTCTACTTTCAGAGGCACTGAGCACTCAAAATTTCTTTTCAGTTTTGTCAGAGCCCYTTTCAAAATGTTTTTACAGTGTTTTTTCAATGCTAAAGCTTGAGCTGCTCTTTATATGTGAAAGTACCCAAGAGAATCACTGTCTCATACGTGACACTTCATGCAGTTTTAGAGCGTTGTAGATCACAGATGAAATCTGCCCATGCTACTGATGTTTAGGGAGATTTAAGTGGTGCTTCAGGCTTTGGGCGCTTCCTTTCAACCCTAGATGCACATTTCTTTAGCTGGAGAATAATTACATATGGCCATCATGTTGAATCATAATGAAGCAATTAAAGTGTGCTCGTGGCATGCTGCAGAGATTAATGACTGAACATGAGAAGCTGCCACGGTTGATTACACGGGATGACTTTAATTCCTCTAGGTAAAGCTTCTGTGTTTCTGTTAGTGTTTATGTCATAACTTTTTTTTGTTGTTTTAAAAAGTATAATTTAAAATTTTAAATATAATGTAAAAATTTATTTTTAACTAAATAATATAACTTCATCTTTTATAAGAGTTTTTTTTTGAATCATTTATAGAGCTATATACTTGAAAAATAGCTATTACTGTGCTCTATTGGGCTTTTTTTAAAATACTAGAGCCTTACTCTAGCAGGCCACTTTTTGAGCAATGTCCAACTGTATCTCTATATGTACTAAGACACAGACTGCTACTTTTGTACTGTAAGCATATCTGTGTTAAGCAGCCACATTTGGAAATCCCCAGAAATACAACTTATGACAGGCTTCAGAGGAGAAATATGGAAAAGGAATAAGTGAATACAGGTGGACAGGCAGAAGTAAATCCATATGTTGATATATATCAGCATAGTGGTCTAATCAATCTAAAAAAATGCTGTTAACTTAATTTTAGGCTGTTTTTTTGAAATAGTAATTGGTATTTTCCCCCCTTGTTATTTTTCTTTCAAACAGCTACCGACTTATTGGTGGCAATTCGCAGTTCACAATCAACCCCTCGACGGGCCAAATCATTACCAGCGCTTTGCTGGACAGAGAGACCAAGGAGAACTACACTTTGGTGGTCGTAGCAAGTGATGGTGGCTTCCCAGCTGCCCTCTCCAGTTCAACCAGCGTGCTCGTCACTGTCACCGATGTCAATGACAACCCACCCAAATTTCAGCACCATCCCTATGTCACCCACGTCCCCTCACCTACCTCTCCAGGTAATTTGAGCACATGGCAGTACTTTAGATATTTTGGATTGCAGGTCGTCTGCAACTCTGATTTTGCACTGTCCCATTTTTCTCAAGGTTTTGAATACTGTCATTTTAAAATATTCYGTCCCTGGAGTACAAATAAGTGGACATGACAAATAGTGACAAGAAGTATAGTTTTAAGGGGACACTGTCAAAGTCATTCCTGCTTGCAACTGATTTTGCCTTAAGAGGTTGAAAACAACATGATATATATACAGAAATGGTGTTTTCTAAGTTTCAGTACCAGTAAAACTATCAGTAGAACATTCTGCAAATTGATTAGACAGTGTCAAATTTGAAAGATGTACCATGTATAAGACATGCAAACTCCAGTGCAATTAAATACCCTAGATTCTCCTTACAAATATAAATGTTAACACACTCTGTTAACTCTGCCCATATGGTGGAGTTCAGTGTGGAAACATGCATTTGAAAGATCTGAGACACAATATATGCATGTTATTGTCTCATATACAAAGAGCTAATTTTTAGAACAGTAGAAGATACAGCATTATCCTTCAGGAAAAATATCAGGAGGAACACTTAAACTTCCGTAGGTTTTAGAGCAAAAATTGGGCAACACATGTATTCATTATGCATTCATTAATGAGCACCCTATCTGTGTTCTCCATTTCAGGTTCATTTGTGTTTGCAGTGACTGTCACTGATGCGGATTCTGGCTCCAATGCTGAGCTCCATTATTCCCTCGTGGGAAAAAATTCTGAAAAATTCCACATTGATCCAGCGAGAGGAGCGATTATGGCTACTAACGCCCTGACAGAAGAGTCTGAAGTTACGTTTTCTGTTCATGTGAAAGATGGTGGCCTGTACCCGAAGACAGATGCCACAACAGTAACTGTGAGATTTGTAAACAAAGCAGAATTTCCCCAAGTTCGAGCTGAGCAGGAGACTTTTGCATTTCCCGAAAACCAAGCAGTCGGTACACTTGTCACTACCATTTCTGGGTCTTCAGCCAGAGGAGGTTCCTTGTCTTACTACATTGCAAGTGGTAACCTGGGCGACACATTCCAGGTCGATCAAGTAACAGGACAACTTTCCATCAGTCAGTCTTTGGATTTTGAAGCAATACAGAAATACGTGGTTTGGATTGAGGCCAGAGATACGGGCTTTCCTCCCTTCTCCTCATACAAGAAATTGGAAATAACAGTGGTAGATGTCAATGATAATGCACCAGAGTTTGAGCAAGACCCCTTCATTGCTGAAATAGTGGAGAACTTGTCACCAAGGAAGATCCTGACAGTTGCTGCTGTGGACAGAGACAGTGGTCCAAATGGACAGTTAAATTATGAAATAGTTGATGGCAATACAGAAAATAGTTTCAGCATTAGTCGAGCCACTGGCGAAATCAGAAGTATCAGACCTTTGGATAGGGAGAAATTGTCACAATACACGCTGACTATAAAAGCTTCAGATAAGGGCACCCCACTCCAGAGCACTACCGTCAAAGTTGTCATTAACATTTTAGATGAAAATGACAATGCTCCTAGGTTTTCTCAAATCTTCAGTGCTTCTGTGCCTGAAAATGCACCTCTGGGTTTTACGGTAACACGAGTCACAACTTCGGATGAAGACGTTGGTGTGAATGCTGTCAGCAGGTACTCCATACGGGATACAAGCCTCCCCTTTTCCATAAATCCRAGCACTGGGGATATTACAATAAGCAGACCTCTGAACAGGGAAGATACAGACCGCTACAGGATCCGAGTCTCTGCACATGACTCCGGATGGACAGTAAGCACAGATGTGACCATATTTGTTGTGGATGTCAATGACAATGCCCCRCGATTTACAAAGCCATCGTATTACTTGGAGTGTCCTGAGCTTCCTGGGATTGGATTGAAGGTCACCCAGGTTTCAGCCACTGATCCCGATGAAGGATCTAATGGTCAAGTCTTCTACTTCATAAAATCCCAGTCTGAGTTCTTCCGAATTAATGCAACCACAGGGGAAATTTTCAACAAGCAGCATTTAAGGTATCAAAACTCCAGTGGTTCAAGCAATGTCAACATTAACAGGCACAGCTTCATAGTCACTTCTTCTGACCGAGGCAGTCCTCCTCTGCTGAGTGAGACAACTGTCACGATTAACATAGTAGACAGCAATGACAATGCACCGCTCTTCCTTGCTGGGAAATATTTTACTCCTGTTACTAAGAATGTGAGAGTTGGTACAAACTTAATTAAAGTTACTGCAGTTGATGACAAAGACTTTGGCKTGAATTCTGAGGTGGAATACATTATTTCCAATGAAAGCAATGCTAATAAATTCCGACTGGACAGGAGTACAGGCTGGATTTCTGTGTCATCCTCACTAATGGCTGATTTAAACAAAAATTTTGTGTTTAAGGTAAAAGCAAAGGATAAAGGCAATCCTCCACTGTCATCAGAGGTAGCTGTGGAAATAGTCGTAACTGAGGAAAATTACCATACACCTGAGTTCTCCCAAAGCCGTATGAGTGTTACTATCCCGGAGAGTCATTCTGTTGGAACAGTGGTCAGGACCGTCTCAGCCCGAGACAGAGATGCTGCTATGAATGGATTAATCAGATACAACATTTCCTCTGGAAATGAGGCTGGCATCTTTGCAATTAACACTTCTACTGGTGCGCTGACACTAGCAAAACCCCTTGATTTTGAGTTATGCCGAAAGCATGAGCTAACTGTTACTGCCACAGACGGAGGGTGGGTGTCCAGAACAGGTTACTGCAGCGTCACTGTTAATGTCGTTGATGTGAATGATAATTCTCCCACATTCAGCCCGGAAGACTACTTTCCTAAAGTATTAGAAAATGCCCCGAGTGGGACAACTGTTCTTCGTTTGAACGCCACTGATGCTGATTCTGGAGCCAATGCTGTGATTGCATATGCTATTCAGTCCTCAGATAGCGACCTCTTTGTCATTGATCCCAATACAGGAACTATCACCACCCAGGGTTTCTTAGATTATGAAACAAAGCAAAGTTACCATTTAACAGTTAAAGCTTTTAATGTTCCAGATGAAGAGAGGTGCAGCTTTGCTAGCATCAACATCCAGTTAGAAGGGACAAATGAGTATGTGCCCCGTTTTGTGTCCAAGCTTTATTATTTTGAGGTTTCAGAGGCAGCCTCCAAAGGTACCGTTGTTGGTGAAGTCTTTGCAAGTGATCGTGATTTGGGGGCGGATGGAGAAGTCCACTACCTGATCTTTGGCAACAGCAGAAAGAAAGGCTTCCAGATAGAAGAGAAAAGTGGCCAGCTCTATGTGTCAGGACCTCTTGACAGAGAAAAAGAAGAGCGTATCTCCTTGAAAGTTCTTGCCAAAAATTTTGGAAGCATTCGTGGTGCAGATATAGATGAAGTAATTGTTAATATCACGATATTGGATGCCAATGATCCTCCTGTTTTTACTTTAGGAACCTATAATGTACAAATCAGTGAAGGTGTTCCTCCAGGCACCCACGTCACATTTGTGAGTGCCTTTGATTCGGACTCTGTCCCTAGCTGGAGCAGGTTCTCCTATTTCATTGGGTCTGGCAATGACAATGATGCCTTTTCCATCAACCCACAGACGGGACAGGTAACTGTTACTGCAGAACTGGATCGAGAAACTTTGCCTGTGTACAATCTGTCTGTGCTAGCAATTGATTCAGGAACGCCATCAGCTACAGGAAGTGCTTCTTTATTGGTAACTTTAGAGGACATCAATGATAATGGCCCTACCTTGTCTACCAGCCAAGGAGAAGTCATGGAAAATAATCGTGCAGGAACTCTCGTGATGACCCTTCAATCATCAGATGCTGATCTCCCTCCAAATCAGGGTCCCTTTACGTATTATTTGCTCAGCACTGGTCCTGCAACAAGCTACTTTAGCCTTAGCACTGCTGGTGTCCTGACGACAACAAGAGAGATCGACAGGGAGCAAATCAGTGATTTCTACCTCTCGGTGATTACAAGAGATTCTGGTGTTCCTCAGATGTCTTCCACAGGAACTGTGCAGATAAAGGTCATTGACCAAAATGACAACCCCTCTCAGCCCAGAACAGTAGAAATCTTTGTTCATTACTATGGCAACCTCTTCCCAGGTGGAATTTTAGGCAACGTAAAACCCCAGGATCCAGATGTGTTAGACAGCTTCCAGTGCTCCCTTACGTCAGGAGTTACAACCCTGTTCAATATTCCCGGGGGCACTTGTGACCTGCACTCTCAGGCACGGTCCACGGATGGAGCGTTTGACCTGGCYGTCCTCAGCAACGACGGCTTGCACGGTGCGGTCACCAGCAGCGTCCGGGTTTTCTTCGCAGGGTTCAGTAATGCCACGATTGACAACAGCATCCTCCTCCGCCTCAGCGTCCACACCGTGCGCGACTTTCTGACCAACCACTATCTTCACTTCCTGCGGATCGCCAGCTCGCAGCTGACGGGGCTGGGGACTGCCGTGCAACTCTACGGCATGTACGAGGAGAGCAACCAAACCTTCTTGATGGCCGCTGTCAAGCGCAACGTCAACCAGTATGTGAATCCCAGCGGTGTGGCCACCTTCTTTGAGAGCATCAAGGACATGCTTTTCCGTCAGAGCGGGGTGCGGATCGAGTCTGTGGATCATGACTCGTGCCTGCCAAACCCATGTCAGAATGGAGGGAGCTGTATGAGAAGGCTTGCTGTGAGCTCAGCTCTGAAAAGCCATGAGAGCATCCCCGTCATCATYGTGGCCAACGAACCTCTCCAGTCGTTTGTGTGCAGGTGCATGCCAGGCTACGATGGGAATCTGTGCGAGACCGACATCGATGAATGYCTTCCCTCCCCGTGCCACAATGATGGGACCTGCCACAATTTGGTGGGGGGCTTCTCCTGCAGTTGTCCGGAGGGCTTCACAGGCATGGCCTGCGAGAGAGATGTCAACGAGTGCCTTTCCAGCCCTTGCAAAAACGGTGCCGCCTGCCAGAACTTCCCAGGAAGCTTCAACTGTGTTTGTAAAACTGGATATACAGGTTTGTGTTTGTTTCTCTTTATCTTACAGTCAAGAAGCGAGGGTGGGTAGAAAAGTGGCTTTTCAGCCCAAAATATGTCCTAGCTATGATTATCTCAACATGAGTATTCAAAATAACTGAAGAGCTTCTTCAAAGTAAGATATTGATAGTAATAGAAACTGCGAAAACGAGGTGCCCGCAATATTGCTTTCTTTGGTTCTGTCCTCTGGCAAGTCTTGCTTGCTGGATTTACATTAGAACAGAAGGGTTTTACAAGAGCTATTTTAATTTGTTAGGTATGTAGAAACTTTCCAACATTTAAGTATGAATTTTGTGTTCTTGTTATGCATATGGTGGTAGCATTTCAAGGCTGTTAGGAGTGTGCCAAGCAAGAATGTCAGCCTCAGCCCCAAATTGCTTACAGTCTTAAAAGACAGAAAACAGATGACGTACTTAGGAAAGAAAAGAGATTTCAAGCATAATCATCATGCTTATCTGCTCTATATTTTGTCCCTTCGTCAATTATTTTTTTCATTAACTACAGAAATCTCTGCTGTGTTCTTACCTCTTACAAATATTTCTGCTCTAGTATTTGTCATACATTCAAACATGGCATTTTTATCCCTAGAGCTGCAGGTTGATATTTGCTTTGTTCACTGGAAGGCAGTATTATTTTATACTGTCATGTAGGAAGAACATGTAGCACTTCTGCAGTCATCAAGGGCGCAGTGATGTAGAAAATTAAATTTCTGTCCCTATATGAAAACGTTCCAAATGCTTTCAGTCATTTTAAAAGAAATATTAAAAGGTTTAGGTTTCAAAAATCTCTTGATCCGTTTCTGCCATGGTAGCAAATTGTGTTTGGAATACAATCCAAAGGTGTTCTCTCGGGAAAAAAGAGGACCACTTGGTTATCCCAACTAGTTATCTAATCAGAACTTTGGCCCGCTGATTTTCTTTTGTTGAAATCCATTCTGGCACATCTGTCTTCCAGCCTTTAACTTCCTTTATTATCTGAACTGAATTTTGTGAAAGCAGTACTGCTCAAAACAGCATGCAAGTCTGAAGATAGTATAAATTCTTGTTTTGTTTTAGTGTGGAAAAATCTGTGTTAGGAAGTTCTGGGTGATTCTCAGGTTCTCAGCCTGTGATTCCTGCTTATTTTAGGAAATCATACATTTGCTCTGCTGTGWTTTACACTGCAACAAGAGCAGTGACACTTCATCCCTTGTCATTGAATATAAGGAGCATGCTTGAGAAACTAATCTTTTGGAAGGTTTAAACCTTCCACTCATCCTAAAGATCATGATGAACTAGTTTTTAATTACAATTTTTAAACGCTACTTTCGAGAGAACAAAACGAGAAATATCAACTTTGCTATTACATCTGCTATGGTCTGCTACTGCTTTAGAGCACTACAGTTGTAAAAAGTGTGTATTGTTGCAGCAACCCAGACTTTTTTGGTGTGAGCTTTGAATTGCGTGCAAGTTCTAGCCTAATCTAATATCTATTCAGAGAAAGAAAACCAAAACCCAAACAAAGAGCATGATTTACAACTAAACTTTATTTAGGTACAGATATATCTCATTCAGACATTTGTTTCATACTTTGTGCAACCTAAGTGAACATTAGTAATAAAATTTAGAATATTTTTGTTTGTTTAGCTGGATAGGATTCCGAATCATTTGATAGTATGATATTTAAGGAAAGTTTGAATAATTTTAACCATTGAACATGGCCACTTTTTCAAGACATCATAAGTATAGCTAGGTTGGCACAGCAATGCTTCTTATCATATGAATGTTCAGGCTTCAAGAGCTGCACAAAAAATTGCTTTTAATCAGTGGCACGATTGGGGGCTATTGCTCATCCTTAAACCAGGTGAGTACAGGAGAATTCAGTTAGTTTATGGAAAAGAAAAAATGTTAATTACTTTCAAAATGCAGGTTTTCTTGAAAGCATAGCTGGTGTTTGATACATGTTCAATGCGAGAGGTCTCTTGTTACAGAAGACGCTGATGTGATAAATCTCCTGAAGGTACTAGCAGGCCTTGGGTCAGGAGCAATTTTTGTTAATGGCAGGCAGTTCTAATTAAGTCAATGAGCCAGGGCTTTATTTCACATCGTATTAGTAGATCAGATTATTTTGCCAGGAGCAGGGCATAATAATTTTTGGACACCTATCATCTGAGATTCCTTAAGTCATTAGCTCCAGAGGTTAAATGGGCATATGTTTGCTGTTGCAACTAAGCTAAGCACTTCATTAACTCTAGCAGGATATGGTAATATGTGCCTGTAGCCCATAATTTGAAACATTAAAGAAATATCCAGGTCACTTTTTCTGGTACTAAAGCTCATATTGTAATACTCAACCCATATGTCAGCTAAAAATAGAGTTTACATGTGACAAACACTTGGAAGAAGAATATTTTAACTAAGAAAATGTGATGAGAGACTCTTAAAGTTTGAAATGTTGATTTCTTTCATGGTATGAATTAAATGTGGCATCTGATACGAGCTTTTTTAAGCTACTTGTCAACACAAATGGCTTTAAAATAGAGTATCACTGAGGCAGACATTTATATTCAGGAGTTAGTTCTTAAATCAGTTGTCCATTGAGGAATCAGGAATTTAAGTACCGAAAGAATAATTGATCAAGACAGAAAACAAAATGGCACTAAGGTTTGTAATTAAAAAACAAAATGTCTTTGGAATTGATTATCAATGGAGTTTGTAAGGTGAGCTCACAATTGATATTCAGTGAATTTACACTTATTATATTTGCACAGGCTAAAGAGCATATTTAAAGTTAAAGTTAATGTTCAGTAGGTTCTRTGGACAAGCCAGAATATGGATTGTTGAAGAGTGGATGTCATAGGGAAGTATTATGTCATTATTATGCTACCAGTATAAAGAGAACACAGCTGTTTGAGAGTTTAATCCTGATCCAATCCTGACTAAAGATAACCATGGTGAATGCAAAAATAAAACCTTGAAATTATTTCTTCATGAATATAATCCCTAAGTGCCTCCAGAAAATAAGGGACAACCAAAATAGAAGAATTCTGATTCGGTGTATCATTATACATAGCTTTGCTGCTTCTCTTGGAATGGAAATACAGTCTCATAATTGAATTTGCATGCTCTGTAAAAGAGATTAGCACTGTACTGCGTACAAGTGGAAATTACTATTTTCTGAGACAGGCTCTCTGTTCACTGTAAATTGGAGTACATGAGACCTTTATAATGGCTTACCTCAAAACTGAGTAGTCTTGCTTTTACTTGATTTATTATGTTTTGTCAGCTGCATTTCACTTCATCACACTGAAAAGGTAATTTAGTTCCTTTCACTGAAGAGTATTATAAAGACAGATTACCTCAGAGCAGCAGCATTAGGGTTTAAAAAAATGTGTTATAATTACATCTGTTAATGATGATCAAGTTTTGTTTTTAAAATAATCACTTTCTGAAAGAGTATACTTTGTGATTTACAGTAGTTGTCTGGCCTTCCTATGAACCCTTCATTTCCTGTTTTCCAGGACTCATTAAGATGAAGGAATGTAGATCTGTTAAATTGTTTCAAATGCAAGGTTAAAATGCTGAAAGAACTAACATAAAAGATGTACGTATATATCCACAAAAACTAAAATTGTCAAACTAGCTGAAATCTAACCTAGAGCATTCGGCTGCTTTCTGTTATTGCTACATTTTTCAATTAAAAAACAAAAATTTCTCAGGTAGTTCGGTTTTTTAATAAGCCTCTGCATCTGATAATATTCACTTGAGATGATGAATGATAAATGCTGTCTGATATCAATTAGTGAGTGTTGCCCTAGTTTTCATGATCTTCAAGGAACTCATCTTTGTGTCAGAACAGCCTTTTTTGACTCTCTGGTATTTAAATTGAAAAGAGAGCTGTAAACTGAACTAATTGCACATCAACCGGACAATTACTGGAAACTATTCTGGTTTGGTCTCTCTTTGGTTAACAAAACGCTGACAACTGAGACATTTCTTTCCCCTCATTAGACCTGATACCCTGAAACACTAGTCAAACATATATAATTAGGCTTGTTCTTTATCTGTCCAAATAAAATGATTCCCCAGCTCAGAAATGTGCAGTTGTCCAAAGCTTTGAAAATCAAGTTGCATAAGCAATAAAAACATGTTCCATTTATCATTTTTCAAAGCGTGTTACTCAAGTAAGGTAGAGGTCTGCCAGAATGTTACTTGAATCAGCCTTGAATCAGTAAAATGTTGTGGAAAATGACCTGTGTGAACCAAAACTACTCTAGGTTTGTGAGCTTTTAACAAAACTCATTGGATTCATCTTTTTGCAAAGCAGTCCAGCTGAGCCCTTAAGCTCAGGTAAAGATTCTTGTATGCATCTTGGCAAACCATTTCTTATCCTGTTCAGTCCAGTATGCTTGCTTTATCTGTGTGAGAGAGAATTTCAGAGTAGCTAGTATCTGTATAAATCATCTTGTCAAGAAACAGTCTGCTTAAAAACTCCTTTTTTATCCATTGTAAACAGTATCTAAATATAAGCATTTTATCTCATGCAGAACAAAAAAATAATGGGTTTACAAAGGTGGGGTTTTTTTTTGGGATGGTTTCTTTTGTTTCTTGCCCTCCCCTTCACCCTCCCCCAAGCTTTTGTCTTCAGCAGACACTTTACTACTACTTGGCAAGGCACCAAGTAGAACTTGAAAAAAGAAAAAAAAAAAAGCTCTCTGTTCTTATCAGCTGTTCCCAGTTGCAGTTGATTGAGTTGTAGGGTATTAAAGAGTTAGGAATATTTTCCACAATACTTTTATTAACTAGTATTAGCATCCTGTAAGAGACACAACCAAGTGGGACAGGCTGTTTGTGTCCTGGGTGACTGTAAGTGCTATGAGAATAAGGCATTAAAAGAAAAATGTAGATGCCTAGTAGAAGTTGTAGGACCAGTAAAGTATAACTGGCATCGCAGGAGTCTATCTGGTGGAAGCCTCAGAAAGAATAAGAGCGTAACTTCTGCAGAATGGACAAGCAGGGGAAACAATCTCCTGAATAAAGCCCTAAGCAACTTGATCTGCCTTGGACATTTGTCTGTCTTCGAATATTWTTTCCCCCAGTTCTTAGGATGTACTTCCTTCAGATGTCAAGATCACTTCTGTTGATGACATCTGAGCAATTTATTTTTCTTTAAAAAAAAAAAAAAAAGARTTTGAGGGGGAAAATATGGATAGAATAGGGACATAGTTTAGATTAAAAGGTGGGGAGTAGGAAGTTACATTTTGAACACACAGACACGCAAAAAAATGGATCTTGGATCCTATCTGGATCTTGGCAGGAAGCAATAAAAGCTGTCAACGGGAACTTTAAATATGGAGACCTTCCTTTTAGAGGATGGCCAAAGAATGTGAACTAGCTTTCTTAGAAAACTCTAAGAGAGGATTGAGTGAAAATTTGATGGTAGAAGGAAGTTTGGATGAATTGCCAAAGCTCAGGATTCTGCAGAAAAGAAGGAATGAGACCAGTAGCAGAAGTTGTCTTCAGAAAAAAAGAACTTGTGTCAGCTCACTGGAAGGTAAGGTTGCCTAAGGAATAAAGAAATTCAGAAGAGCTGGAGGTTTTTAGAAGGAGAAAAAAGTTTTTAGAAAGAAAAAAAATGGGTCTTAAAGCAGGAAAAAAGAAAGATGGAAGTCTGATGGATGCTGTGAATGCTAACAACGGGAATTTTTTGAATGAAAATGCGTTATATGCCAAATAGAAATAAAATTTTCTGTTGTTTTGATGCATAAGTATAGTTGTATTATACTATTTATTATTTATTTATTTGCACACTCTCAGTTTTTGGTTTATAATTCTCATAATCTGATTGTTTTTTGTTCCCAGTAATCTAGCTTTCTCAAAATCATTTATTTTAAATCCATATGTGAAAGAGCTGTAGTGATAGACTGGAATAATATTCCCAAGTTCWACTTTTGTTCTACTGATATCTATCCTGTTTTCTAGGATAAGCATGTTTAATGTATTTGAAGAGGAAAAGTGAGCTTCAGAGACTTCCTTTGTTAGATCATTATTCCAAGTATAAATAGCTGCATTCTTTTCCAGATCCCTAGCACTTCAGTGAATGGTAGGGAATAGCCTAAATTTCTTCTTTATTTTAAATAAATATTAGTTTTAATAGCCCTGATGAATAGTTTAATCAGAGTATTTGTCTTCTCCAGTGTCAAAACAGCTGGAATAAATGCAAACACACTTTTATTAGTTTCATGAATTATTCAAACAATTGTTAAATATGAAGAATATGTTGTTATATGCTGTTTAAAATATGTGCAGCTAAARTAAACATCCATGCTCTGTTGCTGACTCAGCATGTATGCCATCTTAAAGGACGACTTAGAAAAAGATTGTTTTGTTACTGGTATAGATTTGGTAGGCTTTCTTAGCTACATTTGATTTTTGTAATCTAAGAAACCTCATTGAACTAGTCTAAGCATSCCTGCCTGACCCTTGCTACATGTCGTCTTAATAAGTGAAAGAGCAGCAATAGAATTTTTGAATAAATAGAAAAATCTAAAATGTTAGGTTATCCTTCGCTCGTCAATTAGAAAGTAAATTCAAAATAAATAAATGTCCCTGCACTATAATTAGTTGCAGATACTGAAAATACTTCCCAGATTTATGGTACATATACAAGTTACATATTAACTACAGGAACACTCCATTTCACCGTTTCTGCCCTTCCTGTACTCACACATGGAGAGCTGGTGCCCACACAAAACTGGTCAATACTGTTGAGCTTAAACAGAAAAATAGAAGGAAAAAAAGAAGTTTTCTAATTAGACAACTAAAGCCATCACTTAAAACATTAGGAAAATATAACACAATTCTGATTTTATGTGGTTTTGAAGAGACTGATAATYTAAAGCCGAAAGACTGCATTTTGTGCATTGCTATCGTGATATATTAGGATTACCTGGGCACTCACTGTATGAGTGTATATTGTAGTCTACCTTAAAGGTATTTTATAGTTGCAGGGTGATAGCAATAAAATAACTCTTCATCAGTACAAGAAAAAGTATCTACGATATTCCAACCTCGCAGCCCTCGCTATTTATTTGTACGGGTCACAGCCTATATGAAATTCAAGGAGGGAGCTGAAGGAAGACGGTTGATGTTGCTGGTGTTTGCAGAGTAACAAAAGGGAAAAAATGTGCTGATACTGGAAAGGTTTGGTGAACCAGCAGTGAAGGCTGGCACTGCCGTCAGAAGGAAAGCTAGTATTGACAGTAGTGCATAGTGCAAATGCTACTAAACCGGTAAAAGCTAAGCCATGAACATCCTAAACGTGAAGACAAATAGCTTGTGATTACTGTTTCCCAACAAAGAAAAATTTGATTCTATACTTACCCATWTATGCGATTCTTCCAATGATTCTGCCTATTTGCACCTACTGGGGGGGTGTGGGGGAACAAGACAAAGAATCCCCTTGTCAGTATTCAGCATCTGTTAAAGTCTTCACTTTTGCTCTCCCTTCCTGGCCCTGTTGAAATGAATTATGTTACTTCAATTTATTCTCCAGTGAATAATATTTACCACATGTGACCATGTCTGCTTAGAAAAGAGCTGTATCCAGGGTAACATGTTTTAGCTTCTGAGGACTGTGGTCCCTCCAAGTCAGGAAGGAGATCGTAATTGATGAAGAAAAATAAGAAAAATCATCTAATGTACAATAGCTGCCTGTGTTTGACCTGCTGCGCTCATACAGATTCCAGCAAGCGCTGTCTGTAGCCTTCATCCTCTTAATACTAATGAATGCCTTGCACTAAGAAATAATAGAAAAAAACCCTTTCAGTTCAGTAGCTCCTTTCATTTCATAAGGTCTTATGGACACCAGTTAATAAAAGAAATGACAGCAACAGCATGAGATGATTATGGCGAGATGCTTGAAATGTAAAGTGAATTTCTCCAGGCTGTGGAATGCCCTTGTCAGGGCCAGGAGCAGGATCCTCCTTGCCACCAGCAGTCACAAGCGGCCCACGGGATGAGCCCTGCTTTCTGAAGCACAGCTGGGCAGTGTGCGCTGCATTAATTCATAAGCTCGTTGCCTAAATACAAGTCGTCATTTGAAACTGGCCTGAATATGCTGACCTAGAAATTCATTTTGTCTCCTAATTTCAGGGAAAACGTGCGACTCTGCTGTCAATTACTGTGAGTGCAACCCCTGCTTCAATGGTGGGTCCTGCCAAAGTGGGGTAGACGGCTACTACTGCCATTGCCCCTTCGGTGAGTACCCCTTTCCTCTTCTGCTCTTTCTACAAGCAAGGCATCAATACATGCCTTTGGGTGACACTTCTGGGACTTTTTTACTCTTTCTTTTGAAAAACTAAGTGGTTTCGCATGCACATATTCATCAAATAAAAATATSTGCAGACAAAGAATTAATGTGTACACCTATTTTCCTTCAAATAAGGAACACAGTATTAGGTATTGGCAYTCCTGTATTTAGTAGATTTCATTAAAGAGCCTTGGAGAGGCCTTAACCAGATCAAGACAGCTTTATTAGTTCACATAAATACTTGTCTGTTTGATTTATTATATGTGAATAAAGTTTTATGTTCCACAACCAAAATACAATTCCAAGAGTAAAATCTGAGAAGCATACATGGTGCTGTCAAAATAATTTAACAATTACTAATTTAATTATCACTGATTTGTTTTGTGGGATGAACCCAAGAGATAAAAACATAAGATATAAAGCAGCAGGGATGTTTTAAGTTATCTGATTATAACTGCAGCATGGTTGGTTCTGCATGCCAGAATTGTCATTGTTGATATAGAAAACCATGAAACTAAGTGCAAGAAATTAATCCACAAACCAGATAAGTCTGGATTTAAAGCTACTAAAAACCCTTACACAAATGGAAAGAAGAATGGCTCCCAATACATGTTTGTAACCACCTTTGTATCTAATACATGGAATAATGTCTTTATTTTATTCTGTTTTCCTTGTTTTTTATTTTCCTTAGAGCTTATTCATTCCTCATTGCACTCAACTTGAAAAATTACACACCTAGTTGGATTAACAGATGCTTGATAGGAATTAATAACTGTATTTGACATAGTTATCAAACTTGTCCTTTGGATTTTGTGGAGAAATTGTGAGGCTAAATGAAGTGTGTCTTGTTTTTCAACAAAAGTAACTGTCTTATTTTTGTATTAATTATAAAATAAAAGCCTTTTAAAGAACCTTTGTATCATAAGCCTGTCTAGAGCACATCAATGCCTTATTTCAGAGAGTACACACTAAATGAGGCAAGAACTAACTTACAGAAGATTTTGCTTTCCACTTTGCAGGTGTTTTTGGGAATCACTGTGAGCTGAATAGTTATGGTTTTGAAGAGTTATCCTATATGGAGTTTCCCAGTATGGATCCAAACAATAATTACATCTACATAAAATTTGCCACTATAAAAAGTAGTGCCTTACTCTTGTATAACTATGACAACCAGACTGGAGAGCGAGCCGAGTTTCTGGCCCTGGAAATAACGGAAGGAAGGCTGAGATTCTCCTACAACCTTGGCAGTGGCACGTACAAGCTCACCACAACCAAGAAGGTGTCTGATGGACAGTTTCACACRGTGATTGCCCGCAGGGCTGGAATGGTAAGAAATGCTAAAATGAGGATTAAAGGAAAGTTCGGATAAGTCCCCTCTGGCTTCTACGTAAATTCAGAGGAACATAAAATCAGTAACATTTTGTTTGCTATCAGAACCTCCAAATTTGGATGAAAATGCCGTCGTTTCTCTCTTATCCCAGCTGACTTGAATACTGATAATGATTAGTTTACAATAATAATTATAGTGAAAAATAATTTAAAAAGAATGCAATGCCCTGGACTCTAAATGTGAAAAATGAGAACCGCAAATAATTAGTGAAATAAATTGCTACATGTGCAGCTAATTAGCCAATGCTGATTGCAGGGATGATTATTAGTAAAGACTAATTAACTAAAGTAACTACACAAAGCCTCAAAATAATTTGCCTTAACATTTGGAGAATAGAAGAAGGCAAACTGAGTTTTAGGGATCTGTGACCTCCTTTGGTTCATTTAGAGATTTTACAAATCTCGTCAGCCTGGAAACCTCTGCAAAGCGTACGTAAAAATTTCCACAGTGTTAATGGTGCTGCACTGAGGGAGATTTTGGGGGAAAAATGAAAAGGGACCTGATTTTTTTCTCCCCAGAAAGCATCTGAGGGAAGGAGTTTTGCCAAAAACTAGTCAGGGACAACTGATTGCCATATGCTTGGTACTTTGACCCTCCTCCTGCCTTCCTATTATTTCCAGTAAATGTTTTCTATTTCTCTTCTCTCATTTTTTAATAATTATTTCCAAAGCAGAACATAAACCAAATGCTCTTTGAGTTCAAGCCAAATGCTCTTTGAGTTCCACAGTGTTTGAGTTAGGAACAAAACCAAATATATTTGCCATCCATAATCTAGTGACTGTTGCCCAACAGCTCCCTTTTCAGACAGATATGACCAGTGTATATGGAATCCAATATTCCTCCCATGTTTGAAATTAAAGTCACATAAGAATAATATATGGCTTGGGCTCCACATTTTGTTTTACATTTCAAGCCAGAAGTGATGGGGGGAATAAAAGACTCAACTATGCTGCCCAGCTTGCCTCCTCCTGAATCCCGGGAGAGCTTTCCCACTGCTAAATGCTGCTGAAGTCTGTGCTGCAGAGATACAGCCCTTTTATAGCCATCTGTAAGTTGCTCCGTGTTGGGATCGCTGTGCTGAACAGCGGGGCTCCCTTGCATCCCGGCCGGGCTAGCGTGGCCACGGCGCCAGCCTTCCCTCAGGAAAACACTTCCATAGGCACCCGTGTCCTCACAGAGCAGAGCGCTGCTCTGCCCAATAGCCCCTGCAGCTGCAAGGCTGCTTTTCTCCTGGCTTTGCTGAAACCACCTTTATTCCTCTCTCTTAGCGAGTCTTGAGGCTGGAGCTGCATTTCAGCCAAGCAGTGCAAGACTTGATGAAGGATAGTTGTGGCGCGTTGGGTGATGGCTTTGTTTTAACGTGCATTGACATTATCTAGGTAATACTTTCTGGTCCCAGCTTCCTAGTGGTAGTGCTCAAAGGYGCACCTAAGTCTTGAAAGGCACCGAGTTTCCATTTTAGCAACTAATTTGGTATGATGTTTGTATGCAAAAGATTTACATTTCTAAGCATAGGGAAAAAAAATGTAACAAATGAACAAACAAATGAACAGAAAAACAGAACAGAAAAACATGCTTTACTTGTGGGAATGCTGGGGAACTGGTCTATAAAGGAAAAGATAATATTAAAAGGACTTTTTAAGGAAAATTAAGGCATGAATGCCTCAAACTGAAAGTAGTCATTAAGGCAAGTATTGCCTTTGTGCCACCTTTATGTTTAAAGCTGCTCAACATTATTGGCTGTTTACAAACACAGAACGTGAAAAGAATCAGCTTTGTCTTAGATATTTTTTTCTGCAGCAGAAATATCTCCCAAATGTCCAAAAATGTATAAAATCTGCCCCCTCCCCCCCCCCGCTTCAGGATTTCAAAACTGTCATTTCCTACAGCATAGGGGGATTTTATCGGAAACTGGTAAAATCATTAAGTTGTCAGTCCTGAGATATTGCAGAGTGACAGGATAGAAACTCTCTTAACGTGGCAAGGTAACCATACAGTAATGCTTAAGTAACAAGCAGGAACATTTGACTAACATTAGAAAATAAATCATCTGAACTGGGGTCCAAAGAAAATATCTTCTCAAATACCTAGACCTTCAGCTGGGTTGCAGCTTGGCTTTCAGATTGCATAACAATGTAAGTTAGAGATGTTACAYTGGTTGAGCTAAGAACAAAAAAACTTATTTCATTTTGTTCTTGATATTCTGAAGGAAAGTATGTATGCATGTGATTGTATACAGACCAGTCAGCTATGAACAATTCTTGCTATGAATTGTTTCATTTATATAGGCCATATAATGTTCCTTGGAACTGCAGACTGATGTTTCACAGAAATAGTCTGCTCATTATGTAGGAGAAAAAAAACTTCAAGGTAAACTTTATAAAAAAAGCAAGCAATTTATAACAAGGAAAAAGGAACAGTTTAGACATATTGTAGGGCATGGTTTAAGGGCTGAGACCTGTGAATTATTTGGCCAATACAAAGCGTCTTCTCATGGTAGTTACTTAGAAATAGCATGAAGAATCTGTAGGAATTCCAGCAAGACATTGTTAGGAGTGAGTGAACTGAGTTGCAGGCAAGGAAAAAGTCTGTTTACACAGCCATGATGTACTGATAACTGTTACTGTTTGCTCAGCTCCTGCAGAGTTACCTAAATCGAAACATAAACTAAAAAATGTTTAAGAAGTARTGTTTGATTTAAATTTGCTGTAAAACCTTACCATGCATCTAGCTGTAACCTGAGAAACTGATATATATGACTTGTAGATTGTGTTTATTTTTTTGRAAATTTGACTTAAGGAATAACTGCCCTTTAGTTTTGTTTTGCAGCACATCTGTTATTAATAAATTTCTATGGGCAAAATTAGTGGCTAAATCAAAAGTAAAAGGCAATTAAAATCAGCAGGAATTAAGTAGTGAAAGCTTTCACTAAACATTTAGTAGAGAGGTTACAAATAAATGTGCTGTGTTTCACTTCAGTGTGAATTACTGAGATAGCAATGAGGCAACTTCATTGTCATAGGATTGAGAGCTTCAAGATAGTAATAAATTAAAGATAAAGACTGCTCTGAGTACTCATGGCGCCCAGTACTTTTCTGAACATTAGTTTGATCCAAGTCTAGATATCCTCATCTTCCACTGTTATCAAGCAGGGTAGGATAAATATGTCCCTTGCAGCATATTGGCCTCAGGGGATTACAGGACAGGTACAGCAGGAGTAGGAAGATTTCAATACCTTTCAAGGTAGAAATTTCCATTACAAAAGAAATTCAATGAAAGAAATATTTGAGATAATTTCTGTGACCTGGCAAATGAAATTCCTCTTTGCTGTACTGTCCTCAGTCAGTCATCCTCCTATTATCCCAGTATGTTTACTTTTATTATTATTATTATTATTATTATTATTATTATTATTATTATTATTATTTTGTCAGGGAAATGAGCAAGTGAGGTAAGATCTCCATTAGATTTTTTTTTTTTCTTCCCTGAGAGAGGGAAAGTCATCTGTTTGGGATATTATGACATTTTTAGTTAGTAATCTTTGCATTTATACATGCAGCTTTGCTTACATGCTATTTATCCACTTTGAACTATATTTTTAATGTTATGGTCAGACCTATGAAGGAATACCCGCTGTCTTAGGCAGGAGTAATCTTGTCAGATAAGAAATAGGATAGATAAGAGCCAAAATAACTGCAATTTCAAGGAGTAAAGCAAGCAAACATGCAGAAACCCTACCAAAATCTGAAAATTTTAACTGGCTGTTTGTGTGAACCCGTCTAACTCTCTCTGTTAAGTGTCCATGTCTTGGTATTCATGATGATATTGCAGAATGTATTTGATCAGTGTCTCTGGAGAGATGATGAGTGACATAAGTGTTTCATTCTAGCCAAGCCTTTGATCTAATATATTTAATCATAAATATTTTATGGGAGAGGGATCTGCAACCTTGTATTCAATGTATTTGTATGTGTGGCTTTTACAGGCTGCATCACTGACAGTGGATTCCTGCTCTGAGGATCAGGAGCCAGGCTATTGCACTGTTAGCAATGTGGCTGTTTCTACTGACTGGTAAATAATTCTTTATCTTCTCTATAAAGCAAAAAAAAAAAAAAAAAAAAAAAAAAAAAAAGAATAACTCCCAAGCCTTAAAGTTGGAGAAAATTGGAATCATGCACTAAGCTCAGTCCTCAGTAAGGGACAGATACATAAGCATTAGTCCTACAAGCAAGAGGCCTTTGAAGGAGAGCGTCATTTCCTCAGATCTTCTTTCCAAAGCAAATTAAATTCTCTACATGTCCTCCCCATTCAGGTTGCATTCTCATAGTTCAAAAGGCAACAATTTTATTCAGAAATCCTTGATTCCCAAATCCCTCTCTGTCCCCRGCTCATAGGAAACATAAGACATATAGACTTGCTCATGGGTGCAAAATGGGGCTAGGAGAGGAACAACGTAGACACAGATGTTGACTAATAGTTACAGCTGCTTTGTTGTCATTGCTTTGTTATGTCTGATATTAATTAACTGTTTTTTCTGCTTCTCTTATAGGACTCTTGATGTACAGCCAAACCGAGTCACTGTCGGTGGCATCAGATCGCTAGAGCCAATCCTTCACAGGAGAGGACAGGTGGAAAGCCATGATTTTGTGGGCTGTATAATGGAGTTTGCAGTCAACGGACGTCCCCTGGAGCCCAGCCAGGCTTTGGCAGCTCAAGGAATCTTAGATCAGTATGTCTGCTATATATGGTATCAGATGGACAGCGTTTACAATAAAGGAAACTGGCAGGAAAGCTAGGTGCTATTCAGTTCAAACATGTTCAGATATGTCTAATAAAAAATGAGTGTGGAATTTATCCTAAAAGGTGAAGAATTTAGGAAGAAACTGAATTTGGATGAGAGGTCCGCTGAAGATTTCAAAGACTTAAAAATAGCAATGTCATTATATTTCTGTTGAAATTTGTTATTAATCTTGCTGTACAGGCTGAAACAGAGTAGCCTTGTTATTTGGTTTCTTTATAAATTCCACCTGGATTTGACTGTACTCATATGTTTCACGAAAGTTTAATTCCCTCTTATTTCCTTTTAATCCTCAGTGCCTGGTCTATCACTTTGCCTCTCAAGTATCACTGAATTTCCCTCATATCCTCCAAATGGTCTTTCTGGAATGATTTATTAGCTGAGTCTATTTTTTTTCCATCTCAGTATTTGAAGTCACAGTTGTGGCAATAACGTCAATCTGACATCCAGGTTTGCTAGCTCACCCTTCCTCTTTCTACCCCAAGTTTGCCTTGTTCGGTATAAGGGGTCTCTTGAGGTCTGCTGCATAAAAAGCCCTAAAAGATTGATTTCTTCTCCTACATGACAAACAGAAGTTTCTCCATTTCTGAATTCTTTTCTCTTTTGAAAAACTGTTACAACTTGGCACTGAAAATTGGTATTCATGTAGAAACATGAGCAGTCTGATGGGAAGGGCCCTTCAATTTTTTGTGTCTCTGTGGGGAAGAAAAGGACTGTTTCCGTGCATGACCCTTTCCAGCACATTTGCTTTGTTTATTTGTATGCACATTCTCAGGATCTCATTTTCTGGTTTGTTTTAGGTGCCCGAGATTAGAAGGCGCTTGTACGACCAGCCCTTGCCAACACGGAGGTACCTGTGTTGATCACTGGTCATGGCAGCAGTGTCATTGCAAAGATGGACTGACAGGAAAGCACTGTGAAAAATGTACGGAGAGAATTTCACTAGCTTTCTCTTCATTCCATAGCTAACACAGTATGGTTTTACCAAGTGTAGTTAGATTTTCTTTGCAAGTGCACAGGGTAATGACTTTTATAAAATAACGAAAGCATATAGCATGCTTGCCTGTTAAATAATTATGAAGGAAAAGTCCATGGTAGACTGCTGTCCCTACTTGGGTTAAAAAAAGCAACTTGSCCATATACCACGTTTTCCTGCATATATATTACACTCCATATAACTTGTGCGTATTTAGAGTTACTGTATCTTGGTCATATATAACTAGAATAAGTCTAGTTATAGTCGGAGTTAGTCTGCTGTGTGGAGTTATGAGGGAAAACCTCTTAGGATAAAGAATTTCATGAGGAAAAAACTTTCCCTTGTGTAAAAATTGTGTTCACGTGCTTATGGCTTCTCTGAATCGTAAGCTTTCTTTTTTTTTTTTTTTTTTACCTTTTTATTTCTCAACGGATCCTCAGATTCTATGCATGAAAATGTGCTAAATTTAAGCATATGAATAGCTCTACAAAGCAATACAAGATTGCCTAGGAGAGCACGGTGATTTATTTACATGTAGCATGACAACTGCTCTTTAAAAACCGTTTAATTGTGTTCAAGTAATAGGACTTGTTTTCTTACATTACTTCCATTATTGTTTTGCTGATTTATATGCTTTTATTGTACTTATTAACAACAGAATTTTGCCATTATTTTCAACAGCATTTGGTAGTTAGTGCTTTGCCATTGTTATGTTCTTTCTGTGCCAAACCAAAGGTCTGCTTGTATAACAAATAGTCATTATCTCTGCCCTGAAGGCTTATAGTTCAATATATCATGAAACCCTTCTTGCAGTAATGGAAATAGTAACATCTCTGGGAAGGAATTATAGTTTTGAGAGCCAAATTTCTTCCTCTACTCCCTCACTTGCTCTCTAGCGAGTTTTAATTTACTATTGACTGATACCAGCAGTAAATTATTAGCACACTCCCACTCTCAGACACATATTCTGGTTCAAGCCAAAGAGGAAAAGGGGCTGAAATTGTCAGTCAGTCCTGCTCTCCCCACTGACGTGCTCTGAACTTGATCTCTTCTCTGAAAAAAAGAAATAGTTATTACTAGGCAGATAGTCACTGTAGCTATAAGGCACTGGCCACTCAATCCTTTTCCCATCTTTGTCGCAGATATTACTGCTGACACCGCCTTATCACTAGAAGGCAAGGGGCGACTTGACTACCACATGAGCCCGAATAAGAAGCGAGAGTACATGATGAGACATGGTACTAGAGGTGCCAGCCTGGGAGACCTGAGCGTGGGCCRCTTGGAAGTGAAATTCAGGACAAGAAGTGAGAATGGGATTTTAATTCACGTCCAGGAAAGCAGCAACTTCACTACTGTGAAGGTAAGATCACAGCTAATGCTAAACTTGGTTTGACTGGACAGCCTCGTGCCAGTGATCAAAATCACATTTTTCCATTACCCTTGCTGTTTCCTTTATAAAATATTAGGCCTTAACTAAGGCTAGGCACTGCTCCAGTATCATTTATCTTCCTAACAATTCCCTTGCTATTTGCCAAGGTATCAGAAGATCTTGATGGTTTTGTATCTAATCAGTTTTGTCTAGGCTCCAAATAGTGACTGTGTKAAGGCAGCAGGAACACTGTTCATTGCCATACTTCTTATCGCTGTTTAGCTACAGTCTGCAGAACAAATCGTTTAATTATTGGACGTTATCTTTTGATTTTTTCAGGCCTTGAACCCAGACCCTCCTCAAGCTAACAAACAAGTGCCAAAATGGTTTCATTGGTTCCTACTAACATGGCTCATTCTTATCCAATTAGGAAGTACGAAGTGACTTAAATTCATGAATTTACTCATAGACTGATGTCAATATTGTGTAATTTTGCAATATGTAGCAAAATTAATACTTCAAATGCCCCACAGTTGTTTTTCCCAAGAGTTTATTGCTGCAGAAGTTACCTTTTTTCAAGAGAAAGTGATCATTCAGTTGCTGGCCATGATTCAGCCCACTTACTCATAACTCTAAATGAGTACAGCAGTGCTGTTGGCAAGCCCCTTTATTGGGTAGGTGGAAGCTCCAAGTTTCCTTGACTGCTCTAAGGCTTTCCAAGATTTTTTTTCCTCAAGTGTTAAAGAAACTCATGCAGAAATTCACACTTTCTAAGCTTCAGCCTCAATGGTATTGCCCACCTGCTTGATTCCTATCCTGATTAGAGGTACATCACTTTCCACAYATGACACTGTTTTTAAGAAACCAACCTTTATTACTTCACTGGCATAAACTTTTATCACATCATGGGAAGAGGAAGGTTCTGTCTCCTTGTCATTATTATCTGATAAGATCTCACTGTGTTGAGTTCTGGAGAAAAAAATACCATTTTCTCACTAGTAAAATTTGTTCCACAAGTCTTATTTAAAAAAAAAAAAAAAAAAAAAAAAAAAAAAGTTGATTTTCATGGCTGAAAGCAGCACTAATCTTGTGTTTATGTAAATAACCTTTCATTATCATTATTGGTGAAGTTATACAGGCAGGCCAAGAGCATCAAGTCCCAGACCCAGCTGTGTAAGGACAAATTGCTGAGTTAGCCTGGTAATCTATGTAGCAGTTTAAGGAAGAGGAGGTTACTTCACTGTACTGATCATTGCTGAAATTTCCCAGATGATTTTAGTAATGAAACCCAAGGTCTGTGTGACCACAGCAGTTACATTGTTTTATTCCCAGATGGCTATTGTCTTAGGGGAATTTTCAGAGCAGTTTCCTGCATCACCAATACCCGTTTCTCCAGAAAGAGCAGATTTAGATCCTGAATTTCAGCTTTTTGACCTCCAGTTTCCCTGGGGTAGAATAAGGCGGAGGCATGCTGGTTTTTGGGCCATGGATGGGGAGCCCTTGGATCAGATCCTGTCCCACTGCAAGGCTGGGATGCTCTGGAAGCGCTCCTGGCCCCTGCACAGGAGCAGCTTGTTATTAAAAATGTGCATGTCCAGTGAAAGCCTGCATGTGGACTTAATATTAAACTGTGCAAGAGAAACACTACAAGCACCGGGACTACCAACCTTCCATCTTTTTCCTCCTGTAGTCAATTGATTCTGGTATAACTGGAATTGGGATAATATTAGAGAAACATTCATAAATTAGACAAATTGAGACTGCAAGTAGATGATTCATTAAATAGTAAATTCCTCCCAGCCAAGAACCTCATCAAGCCTCAAGAACCTTCCTTTATATTAACAGAGAATCACATCTGGAATCAGATTACGTTATCATAATTTTACTTATTAGYTCTATGAATCTGATGGCTAATGAATGTGATTGCCCGTTATCCAAATATGCCGACACAGACAAATATCATGTTGCAGGAATGAATTGGAACACGATTCATTTGGAGGATAACTTAATGCACTATAAATATGTAAAGGCTAGTGCATATATTCCAGAGAAAAACAAGAAGCAATTTGTTCAGTGAAGGAAACTCAGGTTATTAGTAAAGTCAAATCATCCTTGTATTTTGGAATGTATTTGGTTTTGCTTTTGTATTTCTTTCTTTTCATTAAATCCTACCTGTCAGTATCTCTGTCATTTAAGTAAAATTAAAAGGAGTGTTATCAGTATCAGCCATTGGTTTCCAATTTAGAAATGACCTGGGTTTCCAGGAACCAAGAAAAAACATGCCTTATTTTTTCATGGTTGAAGAAGTCATAAACCAGTCTTCTCTCTGGAAACTGTTATTTCCTAAATGCCATTAGTGTATCTTTTATGAATCTGTTAGCTTTARCCATGTGTAATTTTCAAGAAACAGAACTGGTGCTTAAGTCATAAATCAGTATGGATTCGGATCAGTTATCAGATCAGGTGAATAAGCATACAGTTCTTCTATAATGTGGAATTAGAATTTCAATCTTTCTATAGGACTAGAGTATGTTATCTGATATGATATGTTTATGGTATGTGTAATAGAGTATATTTATTTTATTGCTTACATAAAAGGCCAAAAATAAAGACGCTTTCACGAAGCACAAAAGGCAAAATGACACCAACAAAGCCATTAAAACATTTCAAAAAGAAATACTCTGCCCGGTATTGCTCTTTTTACAAATACTTTTGATTCTGTAAATGGTGTGTGATTTGTTACAATGGAGTCTGTGCAGCTGCATGGGGAACTGGGGAAAAAACACACTTAGACTTCCTTTTACAACAGAAGCCCTGTGGTACTGTAATTCTATTAAAGAAACATGATGTTGGTCATATGTATGCCTTGGAGAAAGGCATATGTAGCATATGTCCGTATCATTTTTTATATGATGCATTTTCTATTTTCCTGACCAGATAAAAGGTGGGAAAGTGCATTACATATCTGATGCTGGAATTGCTGGGAAGGTGGAAAGGAACATTCCTGAAGTCTACACGGCAGATGGGCAGTGGCATTCGGTGCTCCTCGAGAAGAACGGCTCCAGCACGCTTCTCTCTGTAGACAAGGCTCATAGCCGGGACATCCTCCACGTCACGCAAGACTTCGGTGGACTGAATGTTCTTACAATTTCTTTGGGAGGAATCCCACCAAGCCAACCTTTCAAGAGCACAGTGGCAGGTATTCTTTTTTTTTAATACTCTGTGCATAAACATGTTTAAACAGGTAAACACACACACATATATATATATATGTAGGATCTATAGGATCTATATTTGCTTAAAGACAGTAAAAACTGAAATTCTTTATCAATAACTCATATTCTTCTATGCTCCATCAGGAATATTCCAATCTGAAATGACTTTACCATGTCTGAGTGAGAATGTAAACTGTGTGCAAACTTCTGTGTTTAGTATACGTTGCATCCATGTTACTTTTAAGTTACTTTTAATAAGAAGGAGTTTTTGGAGATGTGAGTGGATTTGCTTGCTTGTCTGTTATGTGAATTGCTGGTTATATGGTTCTGTTATGCTAGKGACAGAAGAAAGGACATATTTTTCACCTGGGTTAGAATCTGGAAAATCAAGCCGAATCTTATTACTCAGGCATAATGCTAATGCTAAATAAGGCATAAATGCGAAATAAGAACTCTGTGGGGGTTTGCTAAGTACTGCAGGATTTAGCCTGTTATTAATATGATTAAAATATTTTCTGAATCTCCACTTCCTCCTGCTAACTGCTATCAAATCAAGAATAGGATTTGCTTCTGAGCAACAGAAACCGAGTACAATAAAGGGTCACCTTCTTCCCAACTTCTAAATATTAAGTATATTATCTCCCTTAAGAGACTTAAAGCAATTGTCTTAGACTCTGCCGAAAGAAGTAGATAACATTCACTTGATATTATTACCCCACTGTTAAGTATACATAGATATATTTTAGCTACAAATGGAGATATTCCAGACAACAGAGACATACATTTTCTAAGTATTTATATTGAAAAATCTTCCTAAAGAAAGGATAAAGAAAGTGTGAATGGTACAGATTCACAGTTCATGTTTCTTTTCACTTTTCAGTATAAAAAATATCTGTGCATTGTGTACAAGTATAAAATGTGGTATGAAATCATATGAACCCAATGATTACCTTTAGTTTTGCTTTAGCAAAGTTGAAAAGTGAGGAAAATAACTTCTCACCCACTGCCTGATGCTGTAGTAGACAAATTATGAATGTCTGGCTTACATTAAGAATATACAGTCCAAAATTTCATATTTATATGATCTTTTCTCAATATTGGATTACATTGTGTGTGATGTACCGAGGATTTACAAGGGGGAGATTAGAAAAAAAAAAAAAAAAAAAAAAAAAAAAAAAAAGACCTCTGTGTGAACTTGTGCAGTCAAAAATTACCATTAAAAGTCAAAAATAGTATTAAAGGCAGATAGAAGCATACATGGGAGACAGTTTCAGAGATGTGAAGCTAGTATATCCAATAATGTCTTTCAGCTGAGGTAGAGCTGACAAAATCCCAGTTGCTGTGTATCATATCACTGCTGAGCAGGGACCACCAGGAGTGCAGCAAGTTAATCTTCTATTTTGCACGGTCTCCTACCTGAGCCTAAATCCTCAATTTCCTCTTTACTCAGAAATGCAAAAACAGGAGAAAATGAAAATACAAGTAACATTGAAAGGATACACAGCTCTGTCAGGGTGTAAATAATACAGAAATAGCATGCTTGCAAAACTTGGGCTCCTTTTGGTCACAACACTTTCTCAAAAAAACTATTTGATACTCACTACTGTTTCATTTCTGACATCGGAGGGTGTTCGCATTTTAAAAGAACATCCTTTAAACATGCCAAATCCTTAATAAGTCTTTGCTAGGTATTTTTACAGGAATTTCTGCAAATATTTGTGAAACTAATGTTAATAGTGGCGACTGTTCCGTTCCAGCTATGTGGTTGACGCTGGTGAAACCTTTCTCGAAACCAATATTGCATGGACTATTTCCATGCAATTGTTTTTACTTTTCGTTGTTCCACCTACKTGCCATGCTCCAGAACCTGAGTAGTGGCATTTTCCTTTTAGTCAGTAATTTTTATTGTATTACGTCTGATACAGTTTGCTCCTGACTAATGTCTTTTGTAAGCATGGTGCCTCCCATGGCATGCAGATAGAARTTAAAGAGAAAAGAAAGATGCTCCTTACACTGTTTGTGCATATAGTAATTGAGAGCATAATTTACATGTTATGGGGTCTACCACTTAGTTGCAGCTCTGAGTAAAGGTCAGTGTAAACTTGCCCTATCCTAAAATCCTTACAGAAAAGATTAAGTCTCAGGAGCACGGGGAATTATTAAGCTGGCCAAAGGCTCAATTTTCCTGAGACCTCACACACAACTGCACAAGGGTCAGGGATAATCCACCTCCGTGTGCTCTCATGGCRTTGAAGCTCTGGGTCACCACTGAGAGGGGACTGCTGCCACCAAAGCATGGCAAGTTTAGGGAAAAGTCCCTTTAGATTCAGAGACATAAAAAGATTGCTGTGAACACCATGTTTCCTAGTGCAATGAGACATGAGGCTTAACTGCAGCACAATAGACTGCTGCAGTTCAGAAATGTCAGATAGTTAAGCCATTGYGAGAATATTTGTTCAAATTAGTTTAAGCACTTTAAATACTTTGTTAATGGGTGTTTTCCTACAATAACCATTTGAATTTCTGCTCTATTTACAGAGTAATGGCAATTAACCCTCTCATTTAGCTTCAGTGAAATAGATCTCCAAATTTAAAAATTAATTGRATAACGTTAAGAATATATTTGTAGRAAATATGTTTCTGAGAAATCCCCCAATTTACTCATTGGACATCTCTTTGTCAAAATCATCACTTAATATTCTGTCATTTTTTTTTTCTTTGAGGGGAAACTACTTTAAAGTCAAGATCTGAGAATATAAACCTCAGGCTTCATTTGATGAGCCTAAGTGCAAGCAAGGGAAACTACAATCACAAAAGTATCCCCTTGCTTTGCAAAACTTGGATCTAATCTAGTCACAAAAAAATGACAGAGTTGAGTTTATGTGTAGGTAACATGTTTTGATCCAAAAATTATTTTTTATTTGTRTTTTTTTCCTGAACTTTATTCCCAGTAATTTATTGCCAGTAGTTCTTCCTCCCACATAGCAACTATAATTGTTATATAAATACTGAAGTCAAATGAACATTTCAGATTGCATTTAGGTTTCTGATTAAAATTGCTTGATTCTTTTCAGATTTACAGAAGGCAATTGGCGTGCTTCTAGAAAGCAGAATATGTTTGTTTCAGCATCTTAAATGCAGGTTTCGGTAAACTGTTTATTCACCTGAGAATATTTTTGTTGCTTTGAAATCTTATTAATGGAAACAAAAACCGTGACCAGCTTCAGAACATTTTGAGAACCAAGAGGTTTTTCAAGATGTTTTGTTATCATTTATACGTGTCATGCATATACCCTCAGAGAACTTGCTTAATTTCACTCTTTAATGTCCATTTCTATGTGTGAGGTGTGAAAATCATTTGCTTTAAAAGGCACATGTATGAAAATTATGTGAGAAGCCCTGGGCATGAACAGTCTATTTAACCTCCTTATTCTGCCTAGAAGTAATTTCCAGTTCCTATCTAATCTGAACCAAGAAGTCATCAAAAATCACGAACAAATTACTTGTTAAAACACACAGACACGTGTGCATTAATCACAGTGCGGGTGAGCTACGCCGGGTTGGGGTCCCAACGTGACAGTTTGTTTTTCCCCCTAGGCTTTGATGGCTGCATTTCCTACGTCAAGTACGGCGGGGAGAGCCTGCCCTTCGGTGGCAAGCACAGCCTCGCGACCRTCTCCCGCACGGACCCCTCGGTGAAGCTGGGCTGCCGCGGCCCCGACGTTTGCGCCAGCGGGCCCTGCTGGGGCGGCCTCATGTGCCTCAACCAGTGGTTCGCCTACAAGTGCGTGCCGCCGGGCGCCTGCGCCTCCAGCCCCTGCCGCAACGGGGGCAGCTGCGAGCCCGGCGCACACGCGGGCTTCACCTGCAGCTGCCCCGAGGCCTACACGGGGCGGACGTGCGAGCTGGTCGTGGCCTGCCTGGGCGTCTCCTGCGCCCCCGGCCACGTGTGCGGGGGGGGACTCGACGGCGGCCACGTGTGCCTGCCGTCCCCGCAGCCTGCCGAGCTGTCCCTGCCGCTCTGGGCCGTGCCGGCCATCGTGGGCAGCTGCGCCACGGTCCTGGCGCTGCTCGTCCTCAGCCTGATCCTCTGCAACCAGTGCAGAGGGAAGAAGGCGAAAGTGCCAAAAGAAGAGAAGAAAACGAAGGAGAAGAAGAAAAAAGGGAGCGAGAAYGTTGCATTTGATGACCCCGACAACATCCCTCCCTATGGCGATGACATGACRGTCAGGAAGCAGCCTGAAGGCAACCCAAAACCCGACATAATTGAGCGGGAAAACCCGTATCTCATCTATGATGAAACAGACATCCCGCATGCTCAAGAGACCATCCCCAGTGCCCCGCTGGCTTCGCCGGAGCCCGAGATTGAGCACTACGACATTGACAACGCAAGCAGCATCGCTCCTTCAGACGCCGACATCATCCAGCACTACAAGCAGTTCAGGAGCCACACGCCCAAGTTCTCCATCCAGCGGCACAGCCCTCTGGGCTTCGCCCGGCAGTCCCCCATGCCCTTGGGAGCCAGCAGCTTGACCTACCAGCCCTCCTACGGCCAGGGGCTAAGGACCACATCGCTGAGCCACTCGGCGTGCCCTACTCCCAACCCGCTGTCTCGACACAGCCCCGCGCCCTTCTCCAAGTCGTCGACTTTCTACCGGCACAGCCCGGCGCGGGARCTGCACCTCGCCATACGGGAGGGCAGCCCGCTGGAGGTGCACAACGACGTCTGCCAGCCGGGCATTTTCAACTACGCCACTCGGCTGGGCAGGAGAAGCAAGAGCCCGCAGACCATGGCGGCCCACGGCTCGCGGCCGGGCAGCCGCCTCAAGCAGCCCGTGGGGCAGCTGCCCCTGGAGAGCACGCCTCCCGTGGGGCTCTCCATCGAGGAGGTGGAGAGACTCAACACGCCGCGCCCCAGGAACCCCAGCATCTGCAGCGCCGACCACGGCCGCTCATCCTCTGAGGAGGACTGCCGCCGGCCCCTCTCGAGAACGAGGAACCCGGCTGACGGCATCCCCGCGCCGGAGTCGTCCTCTGACAGCGACTCCCACGAGTCCTTCACGTGCTCCGAGATGGAGTACGACAGGGATAAGCCCATCGCGTACACCTCCCGCATGCCCAAGCTGTCCCAGGTCAACGAGTCGGACGCGGACGACGAGGACAACTACGGTGGCAGGCTGAAGCCGCGGCGGTACCCTGGCCGCCGAGGGGAGGGCGGACCTGTGGGCGCGCAGGCGCCCGGCGCCACCGAGGCCGTGCTGCCCCCCAAGCTGGGGCAGCAAGCAGGAAGCTTCAACTGGGACAACCTGCTGAACTGGGGCCCCGGCTTTGGGCATTACGTGGATGTTTTCAAAGATTTGGCATCGCTTCCCGAAAAAACAGCAGCAGCAGCAGCAGCAAGTGAGGACATCCAAGGTGGTACCGCCACCAAGCCTCCTTCCAAGGAGGGGGAAGCAGAGCAGTACGTGTAGGCTCTGCATCCCTCTGTCATCCCTTGCAGAACAGTGTTACACGCTTGCAACGGTCAGCATTCGAACCCCAGGCCAGTCTGGTTGGAGGAGACTTTAAAAATAATAACCATTATGCTGCTGAAATGGACTTTAAAACRTTTTTAATTTAATTACGCCTGGATGAATTTATTTCTCCTGCATGCATTGTATTTGGAAACAAGATATTCAGCATGCAGCTTTTTAAAAGGGTTTCCTATTTACCGTTGTTTGATTTCTTTGGTTCTTAAATTAATAATGCTTTGTTCAGAAAATGAACTAATTTTTTCTTATTGTGAAGGATGTGCATATTGTCTTCTGCTACTAACGTGTTTTTCAATGTAAGAGTATTGAGGGATCTCATTTTCCTTAAGTGCACAGAAGGAGGGTGGTGAATGAAGGAATTACAGTAGTAAAGCGTCTCAGAAAATGTAGTTACCATACCTTGCAGTTGCTCATATGCAAACTTTAAGGAAGAAATCAGCTTGAGTAATTGCTGGCAACAGTGCTGTAAGTCTTACTCCGTACCAGAGGTGCTAGAAGCAGCTCAAGCTGGTCAGCACTTTAGGAGTTTTTCTCTTTTCAACTTGTTTTCTTAGGGGTGGGAAGGGGAGGGCATTGCGCCTTTTTTTTTGTGTGTGTTTTTGTGGTTTTTGTTCTTACTTTTGACAAAGTTGTGTGAGAGCTTCTGAATCTCTGTGGGATATTTTGGGATGCTTAACYCTGTCCGTCCCCCTGTCCCCACTGTCCCCAGTTGGACTGGCGTCCATCAGCCCAGCTCAGCCTGGCTCACAGCAGTAGCACTGTCAGGGCAGGCTAGCAGATATAGCAGATATAAAAGCAGATATTGGCCTCCCTTGGCCTGCAGCCCTGGCTGTGCTGCCTGGGCAGCCCGTGTTTCATTTCATTTTCCTATCCGTGCTACGGGAAGGTAGCAATGACACTTACCTACCTCACAGGGGTGTTGTGAGGACTAATTAGTTAASGCGCCTGAAGTGCTTAGACGTTATGAAGCACTATAATAAGTATTATCGTAAATATTATTAAAGCACTGCCTAGCCTTTGTGACCCTGGAGTGGCATTTTCTGCATTATGCGATTTTCTATGATGGAAAATTTGAAAAAAAAATATTTATTGTATAGAAAATTAACTGCACTCTAGCATTTTGGAGCGGATATGAGGGAAAACTACTCGTAGACTCATTAATGTAGCTTAATATTTGTCCCAAATTCCCTAAAGGAGTAGATTAAGTAGAACTTCACAAAGTCCTTACATCTTCATGCAGACCTGGTGAACCTATTGTACTGTATAAAAACGTCAATTTTTTTTTTTTTACCTAAGCTGTGTTTTTTATATCAATATTTTCCTATGCTGAATAATTTTCTTACTTTCAGGGAAGGTAAGAAAAATACTTTTTTTACATTTGTTACTTATGTAACATCCATATTTTTCACATTTTGATAAAATTGTAACATACTGTATGCTTTCTACTTGTAAATGCCAATAATAGAATTAAAATATTTATTTAAAATCTTTAGTGTGTGTTATTGGAAAACGTTTTTTCTTTTTCTCTCTCTGGTTTCATTTTGTAGAATCACAGAATCCTTAAGGTTGGAAGTGACCTTTAGAGATGATCTACTCCTRTCCCCCACGCAGGTGACACGCAGGGTCACCTAGAGCATGTGGCACAGGGCTGCGTCCAAGCGGGTTTGGAAGATCTCCAGGGAAGGAGACTCCACAACCTCTCTTGGCAACTTGTTCCAGTGCTCTGTGTCACCCTCACTGTTAAGAATTTTTTTCTGAAGTTCCTATGGAACTTTTGATGCTACAGTTTGTGGCCATGAAGATTTCTCACTCTTCTACTAGCTTTATTTATTTATTTATTTTCAGAAAGTAGGCTTTAAATAGAAAGTTGATGGTGTAAAATACACATTCAGCGTTAGGTCATGGTGAAGTCAGCCCTTGCCTCACGGTGGAAATCTAATTAATCTCTCAGCAGATGAACTAACTGCAACACACAAGCCCGATGCACTTCTCTGGTGCAGCCCGGTGTGGTGGTTCTTTGCAAAGGAACAGATCACGGCAGGGAAGCAGGAGGCTTTCACCATGTCCTGCTGCATTTCATCAGTGACCTTGACTGATGTTTCCAAAAAGCAGCAGCCTTCACCTTTCTCGGGGAGATGGAAAAGTGCAATTGCTGCAGCGCTGTGGCATTGCTGCCCCTGAGATAATATCCAGAAGTATTAAATCTGCTTTCAAACAGGTTTCTAATAGCACCATGATAATGTGTTTTAGCCCATAGGGGAATATAGGTAACAACCGGGTTTATATTTGTTAACTGAGACTTCCATTTCCATTCAAATCTGAAGATTTCTGGAGTGTGAGAACATGTGCTTTCCTTAATAATGAAGCAGTTGAATAACTGCGCAGTATTTTATATTTATCAAAAAGTAAGTCAAACTTGGACARTTTGCTGGAGAATGCAAACAATGAAGAAGTCAAGACTGCGGCAAGAGGTGAGCTCCAGGGTTATAATCTGTACTCTAGTGGTATTTTATTTAAAGAACTTAGAAAATGGTATGCAGTTCTGTACAAAGAATAACAATTCAGATTTTCCTGTGTGTTACTTGTTAGTTTTAGAGTTTTTTTGGTTGACTTGGCTCTGAACCAGCAACGAGGAACTAACACTGTGGCTGAAAATGCTGCTGGCTTCATCTTGCCCTGCAACAACGAGAAGAAAATGGGCCAGAGTAGCACACATTTGTATATAAGTAGTTTCATCTGAAATAACAAGAGATCCACAAATGATTTCTCGGTTTCAGAAGTTGCTGTAATTAAACATCTGTTAAAAAGCTGTATGTTTAGTTTGAATATTATACTTTAATGCAAACTGTACCACATCCAAGCAGTGATTTTAATAACACATGAAAACTTGAGCAAATGGAATCTTTTGAATGTAACACCAAACATATTGAGGACTGCATTATGCCCATTGAACACTCTGATTTTATCAATATATTTTGTTACAGGAAAATAGGCAATGTGGGCTTATACAAAATATCTGCCATACCTTAATGCCATTATCAATTTGTAGTGCATTATTCTCAATTCTCCTTTGACAGACAAGTCTATTTTACTGATTTAATTGATTCCCTGTTTCTGAAAAACACTTAACTGTGATCCCTTTCTGCCCTTTTTATAATTCTTTCATTATGTGAATCAAAGCAGGGCTCCAAGTGCTTCATGTGAAAAGATCATCCCAAGTGATTAGGGCTGCAAGGAATGCAAGGTGAGCTGTGTAACTCCCCCGGTTCATCCTCATAGCTCYACGGTTCTGTTTGGAAATCTGGGACGTATTATAAGTCACAAATATCTGGAAACCAAAGCAGTCTGCACTGTGGTCCTTTCCTTCTCACTTCAGTACTCAGGAGCCTTCCAACACATCACATGTCAGTAATTGGACTTACAGTGACTGATCTTCCTTCAGTCGAACAAGATTAGACCGTTTCGCAAAGTTGTACTCCCGCTCGAATTTTTGCAGGATGTGGTTGCTGGTTTACGTTGCCAGCAGCAAAGAAGACGACCCATTACTGGACCTTTGCATTTATTACTTTGAGCATAGGATTGCCACCTTTGCAAGCTAAGATGTAAAATTGTCAAAGCAGACTTTATAATGTCTGTTTGAAATATAGGAGGCTGAGGTAGTTGAGGGAAGGTCGTTTTCAGAAGTTCCAAGTAAATTGTCTCTAGCTCCTCAAGCCTTTTCTCAGCTCAGGATGCACCAAGGGCTGTCCAGAAGACTGCTCTGTACATGGCCTTGTGCAAGGGAAACAGACTTGCTCTGCCTTGTTTTGTAGTGGTTTGGGATCGTGCTGTGGCTGAGCTTCTTGCAGCTCTGCATCCTCCCCTGCCTTTTACAACAGTCCCATGTCTCTGTTTGCAGCTCAGGGCAAACCCAGGATCAGGAAATATGCTGCTTTCCCCCTCCCTTGCGCATGGAAAGCAGTGCTAGCAGGAGGAGCTTACCTCTCGTAAGCAAGGATGCTGAAATCAACGTGCTTTATTTTGAATTAAATCTCTCAGAGGGTTCCCATTTTTTAGGGAGTCAAGCAGAACTGTTGGTTAAAAGAAAACCAAGATGGAAGTCCAACATTCTTAAGTTTGCGTTGGAGTCAGGGTAAATCAACAGCATTCCTGTTAAAAGCTGGAAGGGCTGCAGTCTTCCTCAGCGGCTGCTGGAGCCCCAAGGACAACGTGCAGTATGTCAGATAGCTCACACTTTGTGGCAACTGCTGCGTTAAAACTGCCAAGGAAAGAAAGGAAAATAGCTGGGGGCTGAAATCATGAGAGAGTGACAGCCAGAAACTTCWGTGTGACAAGATGTGCCAGAGTGGATGAGGAGAAGCAGCAGCAGGACAAGGAAGGCAGGGATGGACTGAAAAAAATCTATGTATTTTTAGAYGTTCGTTCACCTGCATTTCACAAACCTGTTTCCCCAATTGCTTGCGAAGGAAACAGTCCAAGTGTCCTATCAGCAACAGTTCCTTTAACCTTGGCTTTCCATTACTGACAAATTTGCCAGCAGAAACCATCTCTACGAAGGAGGATGGGTTTGTGCACATGTACTACACGTGCTTGCCTATTCATAATAACATACATACATACACACACATACATGCATGTGTTTTCCATAAAGCAATTAGTACAAAATTCCTGGCAGGAGTGCATGATTGGAAAAGAGGTTAGCAACCTCCTTCTTCCAACAGCAAAACAGAAAAACAAGCCACTGTTCACAATTCAGTTCAATTCTGCATGTTCTCTTAAAACACTCTGCATTTCTGTGCAGCTCTTTAGGCAAGTGGTGGGGTAAACAAACAGATCCCTGTCCTCACATTTGTTGCTTGATTTCCCCCAAGTCTTTTAAAAGCCAGAATGTGATTTAGCAATTAGTGTTTGTGCTTGCATATCTTTTGCAATTAGCTAAAATAGCAAGTCAGGGAATAAGAAACAAACGTTAATATAAAAAACAAACATTAATGTAATAGAAAACATGTCCAATGAAAAATGTACATTGTTGAGTCATTCAAAAAATGTACTTTGGTTTTAATAATCCGGAATACTGCCAAACATGCATTGTAATTTCCTTTAAAATAATGTTTCTTCTTAATAAGTCTTTATTAAAACAGTTTGTTAGAGCTTTGCGAAGACGTTATGCAAAATTACACTGTGTGACAGCAACTTTTTCATAAGAATTTCCTGCAGTCTGCAGAAAGCTACGTGGGGACTGGAATGGCCCAGCTCTTCTGAAGCAGCTGCCGGAATAACTTTGCAAGCAGCTCAAGGAATAACTTTGGCACAGAGCATGCAGCCAGCCCGCACCCTTCCTCAGTGGAATTGGTCAAGGGCTGGTGGATGCAGAGCCAAATAACATTATGGCACAAAGAGCCTCTTGCATGTGGGCTGCAGCAAGGCAGGTGGAGCATCTCTGTCTTGAGCAGGGTTTAGAAGCAACTTCTACTGGTTGGCAGATGGGAACAGCAGCTGATGAGACATTTTTGAGGGGAGGAAGTTACTGTAAAACAGCACCCAAGGCAGGACCTGACCAAAAAGCAGTGGCATGCAGTGACACAGACTCAGTGTTGGAGTGCACAGGCAGCCCGCTGCTAAAGAGTTTCCATTGCAAGGCTTGATCCGGCTACAATCCTGGTTTTGAATTGCAGTACATGTAAGTAAACAGGGATAGCAAATAGATCATTTTTCTAGATTGAGGCTTATGAAAAGCTGAAAGGATGCAATCAATAAAAAGCCGGCAGCTCATGTTACCAGAGCATCCCATCTACACTTACACCAAATATTTGAACAGTTGAATTATGAAACTGCATTAAACYTTGGTTGCAGGAAAAACACAACAGACCTTTTTTGTTATTTATTTTTTTACCTATAGCAAATATACTTTCATTGCTTTTACCCTCAGAATACACAGCACTTCTATTTTAATGATGGCTAATGACTGCATGGGCTACCACCACATTGTGTCTCACCATCACCCAATACACAAGCTGTAAAAAACAGCTCATGCTGGAGCCAAGAGGTCCCAGGAGACCTCAGTTATTCTCCCTCCAAATGAAGGCTCATTTCTGCCAGTGATGCTCAAAACTCTCCCAGCTCATGTCAGACCCGTTCCCACATGTGATGGAGCCTACATGGAGTGGAACCACGGCAAGYGCGACGTGTTCTGAAACGTCCCCCACCAGATGCTACAAGGGCACGAAAATACCTGTTAAAAGGCTATGGGGCTGAAAGGGGATTGAAAGGC